CTTCTCAGACATCGGGGCATTGGAGCTGAGCCCAGACCCCGCAGAGTGGATAGGAACGTCAATAGGATCGTGATGAGCTGGGGGATTAGATCGCAATCGCAAAGCAGCTTCACGTCTCTCGGGTGACTCAGAGCTCCTCTTTGTGGCTCGTGAGTCAGTGCCGGTTTGTCCCGACATGTTATCAAAAGATGACGACCCGCGAAGTTGAGCTTGATCTGGATCAGGTTGAGTGAGATCAAGCCGTTGAGCAACGTCACCAATGAGTGGCTTAGGGGAAAGTACTTTGGCAACGCGGCTCGGCGGGAGCGATGTCGTTCGTCTCTCTGGTGTGACCTCGGCCTCATCGATTACATCAAGGATCCCAGGGATGGTTTCATCATCTTCATTTCCTCTCCTGGGTGGCTGATGGAAGGGGATGTCGAGGAGGTCGAAGGGAGTAGAGCCAATACCAGGTGTATCCTGCTCGGATCCATCACTGGTACGGTGGCTGGACTGCTCCTCGAGGTCGATGACGTCGGGGGCGGACTCTTTTCGAGTCTGACGCCGATTGAACGCCGCGAATAGACCGGCATGGCTTCTTGATGAAGTGGAGGAAGGATTTGGGCCTGCTGTTTCGCGGCCCGCGTCCGATCGATTAGTACCTGATGCCCGATTTGGCGGATTTGAGCCCGCGTTGTAGCGGTTCGCATCCCGACCTCGGGTACCTGAGGAAAGCGGTGGATTCGGACCAGCGTTGTAGCGGTCCGCATTCCGGTCGCGGGTACCTGACAGGTGAGATGATACTGCGTCAGGGATGAAGTCCATATCCGCCGGACTGGGGTGATCGTGAATGATGTCAATGTCGGATGAACCTGAGACGGGAGGAAGGCCAGCTGTTTGCGGCCAATCCTCAATCGCCCGCTTGCCCACCTCGGGTTGGGCCGAACCTGCAACATGAGAGGGGGAGAAATCTTCAATGGGGTCATTTTCTCCATCATGAGGAAAACCCTGAGTAGGCTCATGTGTAGGCAGGGCATCAAAAGATCTGTCAATTCGGGAAGGCTGCGACCTCCAATCAGCATCAAAAAGGGATTGAAAATCCAGATTCCCAACCGATATGGGGGCACCCGAGTTGAAGTCGAGCCGACCGAAATCAGGCGGTGTAGCCTGGGGGAACCCTTTTTTCTCACCCTCCAAACCTTTTTTTTCAACCCTTCCCTGTTTTTTCAACCCTTCATCCTTTCTATTTAACCCTCCCCCCGTCTTTTTTTAACCCTCCCCCCTTCTTTTTTAACCCTCCCCCCTTTCTTTCTGACCCTCCACCTCTTCCTTTTAACCCTCCCTTTCTTTTTTGCCAACCCTGTGGCCGAAGTTTGCGGCAACTGCACTAAGCAACGGTCCAGGGTTGGGTTGGTTTAGGAGCGGCTTTGGATTTAGGGTTTGTTTGGGGTGCGTTCGGGCGGGGGGGGTAGGTGGGTTTAGGGTTGGTTTCGGATGGGAAGGGTGGATTTAATGGTTTAGAGGCGGGGTAGGGTTTGTTGAGCAAGTTTGTGGTCGGTTTAAGTTTAAGGTTGGTTTCGAGCAGGTCTGTGCTGGGTATATGGTGGGTTTAAAGTTGGATGAGGGTGGTTTTGGGCTTGGAAAATGGGTCTACAGCGGGTTTAGGATGGATTTAGGGTTGGTTCAGGCGGGGTTAGAATGGGTTTAGGGTGAGGTCAGGCTTGGGATTAATGTTGGATTTACATGGTGTTAGTTTAGGGTGGGATTAGGGCGTGTGTCGAAAGGCTTCAGGGTGGATTTGGGGTGGATTTAGCGTTGCCTTAGAATCTGTTTGAGGTGGGTTTGGGGTCGGCTTCGGGTGTAGAGTTGGATTAGGTAGACTTAGAGCAGGATTTCGGTGGGTTTGTGTTTGGTTTAGGTGGTCTGGAGTAGGTCTGTGGTGGCTGTAGGGTTGGCTTAGGGTTGTAGGGTTGGTTCAGGGCGGGTTTACGGTTTGTCTATGTCTAGGGTGGAGTTGGGGTTGCGCTAGGGGAGGCTTGGGGTCGCTCAAGGGTGGCTTAGGGTTGATTTGGGGTGTCTTGATTTCAGGTGGGCTTAGGTGTGTAAGGGTATGTTGTTCGTTTGTTTTGGGTTGGATATAGGTTGGTTCAGGGTTGGTCTGGGATGGTTTAGGGCGGGGTGTGGGGTTGGTTTAGGCTTGGATGTGGATTGGTTTTGCGGCTGGCCTAGGGTCGGCTTCACTGGATTTAGGGTTGGGCCAAGCTCAGCTTAGTCTCTCAGGGTGCGCTTAGAGTTGGATCAGGGTGGGTTCATGGTTGGTACAGGGTGGGCTTATGGTTGGTTTAAGGGTTGCTTTGGAGTGGCTCACGGTTGGTTAGGGTTGGTGTCGGGCCAGGTTGGTTTTGAGTTTAGTGTGGGTTTAGCGTTGTTAGGGTGGGGATTTAGGGTTGTTTTTGGGTGAGTTTAGGGTGGGTGCAAGGTTGGTTTAGGGTTGGTTTTCGCTGGGCTTGAGTTTAAGGTTGGTTTTCGGGGTGGTTCGTGATTGGTTAAAGCTGGGTTTAGAGTGGGTTTGGGATTGGGTTAGGATTGGCTTAGGGTCGTTTTCGGGTTGAGGGTTGGTTTTGGGTCGGTGGGTCTGTTCAGGGTTGGTTTAGGTTGGGCTTAGGGTTGCATTAAGGCTAGATTAGGGTGGGATTGGGGTTTAAGCGGGTTTAGGGTGGGTTTATTGTTGGCTTAGGCTAAGCTTAAGGTGTGGGGTGGGAGTATGGTTGGATCAAGGTTCGGGTGGGTTTAGAGTTCGTGTAGGGTGGGTTTAGGGTGGGTGCAGGACTGGCTTGTTGGTTTAGGGTTGGTTTAGTTTGTTGATTTAGGGTTGGTTTAGGGTCGGTTTGGGATTGGTTAGGGGTGGGTTATGTATGCTTTAGGGTGGTTTCGAGTGGGTCGGTGGTGCTTGCGGTGGGTTTAGGGTTGGACAAAAGACGTTTCTGGCTTGCTTGGGGTTTAGGGGGTGTTGTGTAGGGTGGGTTTGGGGTGGGTTTGGGGTGGGTTTGGGCGTGTTTGGCTGGTTTGAGATGGATTTAGAGATACTGAGGGTTCGCAAGGTTTGGCTTAGGGCGGGCCTAGGGTTGGTTTGGGTTGGGTTGGGTGCGGGGCAGGCTTAGGTTGTTTTAGGTTTAGGGTGAGAAAAACAAGGTTGCGGGGTGAAACAAGCAAGCTCGCGGGTGGAAAAAACAAGGCGGAGGGTGAAAAAAACAAGGCAAAGGGTGAAAAAAACAAGGTGAGGGGTTGAAAAGAAAGGATTTCTCAGGGTTGGAGAAGCAAGGTTCCCGCCGACGGTTCCCAAGCAGGCTTTGAGGGTTGAAAAAAAAGGAAGGGTTAAAAAAACAAGTTCGGAGGGTGAAAAAAAAAGGGAGCCCTGTAGCCTGCGATCCACTGCCGAGGAGCTGGTCAAACTGATCCCATGTAAGGGACCATGATTGAGCCGGCTCCGGATGAGCAGCATGATGGACAGCCCGGTCCTCGATCTGGAGCGCCACGAACGGAACAGTAGGCGAAATCGATGAGGGCACCTGATTTGGAGGAACCTCAGCCTCTTCTAGAGGGGTTCCGTCCTCGATCTGAACCACTGCCGCCGGGATAGGGGTCTCCGCATCCTCATCAAACACGACCTGAGAAAGGATCCAATCGTCCGTGATCACCCCGGGATTGGGCTCTGCGCCCACCATCGGGGGAATGGGCCACAGCCGGCTGTCTAAGCCGGGAGCAGCAGGCGCGGCGTTGCCGCGAAGGGCGTTGGCCTCGTCGTCCACGAAGCCCGGCCCACGATGTGAAGCTCCGGGGGACGCCATTGCTCGTACAAGTAGGCGATGGGAGCAGGTAGCGGGTCACGTCCCGCAACCGGATCACCAGCCCCAGCTTCTAGCTGGTACGGCTGATAACCTGCGGTTTTGGGCGAACACGAAGTAGCCCAGGGAATCAAAGAGGTACACGTAGTTCACGAAGTACCAAAAGAACCCAGTCCCAAAGCACAATGTAGAAGGTGCTGGTGACCAGATTGTGGGAGTGACAGTTAATGAAGATCAAGTTTGGGGAGGTTGGGAAACAGGTTGGAGAAGGGAAGTTTGTGTCCAAGCCCAGGACGATCACGCAGAGATCCTCCGCCCACCTCCCAATGCCTAACCACGGCGACGCCAGGAGCCTTTTCCCGACGGCGAAGCAGTCAGCCGCACTATGGCTGGCGCAACACGAATCCGTGACCCCCCTGACGGGAGGGCAAAACTTGAGCCAAACGGCCATTCGGCCGTTTTGCCACATGATGAAACAACACGTGAACAAAACACAAGAAGAAAGCCAAGACGAAACCGGGAAGGGGAAACGCCTCACAAAGCGAATTCACGTAATCGGAACCCATCACAGCAAGGCGCTTCAGGCGCTTTCGCCCAAGGGCGAACAGATACAGCTAGGGTTCTGAATGGTCTGCTTGGCAAGGTAATGGTCAATCAACCTGAATCCCGTGATCCGCTCAGCATCTCGTGGCTGCCTGCCAGTGTGGTTTCAACCACCGACAGTATTGTGTTTAATTAAAAATAATAATAACAATATATATATATATATGTATATTGTTAAAAAAAAAAAGGAAAAACACGGGCACAGGCAGAGTTACATTTTGGGGAAGAGCCCAAAGAGGGCTGCCCATCGGTGATGCGTACGGAGCCCGCCAAACACGTTGGTGGGCTGGTTGGGCTGCACGCTGCAAGAGAAAGGCGTTCTTCGGCGGGACCATATGGCAGAGGTGGCTGAGGTTTTTTGTGGGCCAAACCCCCCTTATGTGGGAAATGTTCTCCATGGTCAAACCTGGGGGGCCAGACGTGATCCTTCCTTTAGAAGGGCCATCAAAACGGAAGTTCCCCTGTGGGCATCTCCCCTTCGTCCAGAAACGCCTGGGCGTCATGGGTCCAACATGGGTCCCATGGGTCCCATGGGTCCCATGTCCCGAGGCGACTCGGCGGATTTTCGGCGTCCTTCAGGACCTTCCACAGCGCGCCCCCGTCCGCCAGGTGCACCTCGCGAAACCCGAAAAAACCGGAGGTGAGATCCAGTCGGGGAAGGGGGGGGGGGAGGGGGCAGCAAATGGCCGGCCCTTGGTTTGTTGCGCCCTGGTAGAAACGAAAAGAACCAAACCACCAAAAAACACCAAGATGCCAACAACAGTGAGGTTGCCCCGAAAAAGTAGCCAAGATAGCCAAGCTTGTTGTTCGCCACTATTGTTCAACCCTCAGATAGCTAAAGTCCAGCACTCAGGAAGTGAGGCCCCCATGTCCTCCGTTTGCCTAATCCCTCCTGAAAAAATAATAATAATAATAAAACAAAACAGTACGTAGCGAAATGGATTTCCTTCAAAATCAACAGGGGAAGATCAACAAAAAGTCAGGGACGGGCTCGATGGCAGATCTGTTTCTAGGTCCTCCAGTGGAGAGGTTAGAATAAGGGTACCCTTTTTTCTGCAGTCTATTTTAGTAGGGGAACCCTCCCCCAAAAAAGGGTGAGAAAGGGCACTACTGGGGGACCTAGGTTTTTACCCTTCCCTTCTCCTCCCCCTGTGCGCCCGGGGCCGAGGCGGTGCCCTGGTTGCCCTTCAGGGTCACCTCGGCTCGCTCGCCGGCTGCCGGCCGGATTCGCTCGCTCGCTTGCCCACTGTGGCAAGCAGGTTCTTTTTTTTGTGTTTTGCTTTTTTCTCCTAGGCAAATCTTGAAAGGAAACCAAGCCAACGTAAGCCAACCCATTTGGGACTTTTGGTTCACCTGACTGAGAACAAGCCCGGATGTTGAAGGAAGCCACAAATACCTGTGACGGAAAGGAAACCTGCTTGGAATCTTTCCGAGGAGTTTGTGGGAACCCACAAAACAAAGAGAGAACAGGGTACCACTGGAAAACTGGATATGAGGAGGGAGGGTCCGGGTCAAGACGCACAACCGAAGGATGGCCCAAAAGTGCTGCAACCCATTTGGCCACCAATTTGGCCACCAAAAAAAATATGCGCCTTTTTAGGGGACCCCCTAAAATGGTAGTGTTCCTTGCGAGTGTCCTTTAAAACCACAAAAAAACATGGGGGGTAGTCCACAAAAAAACATGGGGGGTAGTCCAAAAAAAAAAAAAGACAACGCAACCCGAAAGTGAGGCGGTGGTCTCCCTTCGGCCACCTTCGGCCGCCCCTCGCGGGTTTGACCCACAGGCACAGCTGCAAACAAGTGGCCCAGCCCTTGCTGCCATCCTTCATGGACCGACACTGGGCGCGCATCATGTCGCCTCGCACCGGCCGACGGAGGCGACCGGCCGAGGGAGGTCGGCAAAGAAGTCTCTTGGTGGTCTACCAGTGTACCCCTACTGTGGATGGACAAAATCCGTTCGCAGCACCTAAGAATGATTCGATCCCCCTGCAAATGCCCAGAAACAAGACTCAGGATTCCTGCAATTCCCATAAATCCCAGATTCACCAAATGTTGGTTTCAACCATGGCTTCAAGGTGGTTCGATTTCTGGATTGGCTTCAAAGTGGTTCGATTTCTGGATTCCGTCCGTCTATCAGTACTCTCGTTCTCTCGCTCTCTCTTCCTATGCCGAAACGCCCTAGGACCACCCCCACGACTCAGACCCCTCACGTGACCACCGGACCCAGCCAGCCCCAAAGGTGTCGGCTTCTGAGTTCTTTTCTCTTCTTCTTTCTTTTGGGGACGGGAGGGGGTGTTTGAAGAGATCCCCCAAAATGAGCGATTTTCCTCTTGGCTTCACTTTAAAACCCAGCCAGGAACGTCCTATACAAAACGGACACACACCCACGTGGAGGCATCGTGCTGGCCTTCAGGGGAGTTTAGGGACGGGCTCGAGTTGCAACCCGCAGCTTGGTCTCAAATCAACTTCCCCTTGGTGTGGATTGGTCGGGAGGTGTTCCAGGCACCTTCCGCCCCCCCACTCGTGCCCCAAGCCAATCACCAGCAACTGTTAGATCAAACATGGCTGCCCAAAAGCAAAGTCCAAACTGTTGTCTGCCACTAAACTAAAAGGATCCAAACACGAGTCAGTGAAGCGAGCAGCGGGACTTGTGATCACATCATTCCTGCGTGGCCCTGCTAAGCACTCTCAAACGCCTCCCTGCACTGGCCGAGGGAAAAACTGTCGGGGGAGCCAATGAGAAAGTTCACGATGTGAGGAAAAAGCATAGACATGAGGTGCATCATACCGTACATCGAAAAGAGTCATGTTTGCTTACATGTTGAATTGTTTACTTGTTTATTGATTTAACTAATAGTTTATGTATGTGTGTGAGGGATATGGGGAGCGTGAGGGAGGGGGTGGGAATGACTTTTTAGTTGGGCACTCTTTGGCGGATGAGTTGTGTCCACCAAGCATCCCTTAGGGTCTTCTAGTTTGAAATCTAGAGCCATAGGCATAGCACACCTCACTTGCCCAAAGACCCATCAATGAAAGGTTAACCTTTTGGGACCCCTACTAAAATAGACCAAACAGGGAAAACCAAAAGGTCAAAATGTCGGCTTTGAACAGCTGAGACACTCCTGTGGATGAAAACGGAACCCCGAAACCCTTCATTGCGACCGCATGATGGTGAAGGGACCGGTTCTACTTACTTCCCGAGTGGATGGTCCACAAAAAGTCTGCACTAATGACTAATTGTTGGCCACTAAAAATGGTCGAAACCCAACCGGTGACTGAGGTTCAGGAACTAGTGGGAAGTGCGTCTATGTGCCTTGGTGGTTTTTGGTGGTCCCTCTAAACTCTAAAAGTCTAAGGGACAGCCAGTCGGTCGGTTGCTCGGCCGGTCGATTCGTCGATGGCTGTCGCTTGGCACAGCCCATCTGTTCCAGAGGAAACAAGTTGTACTTGTACGCTCACCCGAAATCTGCGGTACCAACATGCGTTATTCCCATACTGAAGCTCGCTTTGAATCTTGGGTGCTGTAGATCCCCCAGCAAAAAGTTTAACTTGTTGCTATAAAAAGGGAAATATGAAGGGAATCCAAAAAATTAAAGTCTAAAGATCCAACCCAATAGCTGTAGAGGAATGGGGATCCCCGCGGGGCGCAGAAAGTGGCGCCCCCAAACCCTTTTCATTGCATCCTCAAAACCACATGTTGTCCTCGGTTGAAAGGACCCCCCGCAACCCCACAGATAAACTGTAGCCAACCCGCCAACCCCGCAAAACCCGGGAGCGCAACGCTATAGGCACAAAGGAATAATCCCCGGCGGCATCCCCAACAGCACACAAGGCAATGCTTGGAGTAGTCTTCACTGTTGCCATGTGTGCAAGTGGTTTGGCTTTGTGGTTCTGTTCACTTTTAGTGGGAAAAACAAAAGTAAGTGTTCTACTACCATACCGCTTGGGTAGGGAAGTGTTCGATCAAGGAATTCGGTTCGGTTGCGGAACCTTGCAAATTGGTGTCGGACCTTTGGCTAGAGATTATGGAGGCCTGCGGCCCAATGATACAGGGGAGCTAAAGGGAAGCTTCCATTTGCTGAAGCCCGCTGTACAGAAAAATAATCCAGGAGCGAAATCGATTCCCAACAAAGGAAAATTCCAAAAGAAATCAAAGCCACATCAGCCAATGGAAGGACTGGTTTTCCAACCCAGCAGCTCCGGCCTTCCTCGCTGGGGGAACTCAGCAGCTCCACCACATCGCCGGCCTTGCTTGGGGAGGGGGCCAATAGCGAGCACACAGACACACACACGCACACACAAGCTGTTGCTTAAAAAAAAAAATCGGCCACCCCCAGAACTCCCTAAAGGTCGCGCACTCAGTGCTCAGAGACCCGGATGCGCTCGTTCGTTCAGTCGAAATAGAAAGGAGGCTTCCCTTTAACTGTTGCTTTGGAGCCCAGTGGTGTAGTGGTGTTCTGCAGGTTTTGCATCCACCCTCTAAGAAGGGAATCCAAACCCCCAAGTCAGGGTATGTGCTTATGTTTTTCATGGCCCAAGCCCCCAAATTGGCTCTTGGCTTGTTGCAAAGGCCACCCCATCCCCACCCCCACCCCTTTGCCATGGACACTTGGAGTGCATGTTGTAGTCAAGATCCCAAAAATAACCCAATACCCTGAAAGCTCAGTGGTGGTTGGCAGCATAAATCCTAAGCTTCCATTTGCATAATTACGCCCCTGGAACAAAAGACAGTACTTGTAGCTTCCCTTCCAAGCGAGAAATATCCTCAAAGCAAATCGAAGTCTGGGGTTGGACTTATCTTATTTTTTGGTAAAGCTCTCCACCTCACCACGGGGGGCTTCAGCGGAGGGAGGGGGGGTGGTTCGTGGGTCCCCGGTACCACAAGCATCCTGCAAACTACAGGGGTTGACTTACCTAGTGGCAACTGCACTCCCTCCGAATTGACACCAAAAGCCAACCGCGCTTTAAAATGCAAATCCAAATCCCACTCTGAAGCCCTCTGAAACCCAACTCAAATCCAAATCCCCCTCAAATCCAAATCCCCTCCCCCCCAGCTTCACTCCACCTTCACCCTCTTCACCCCGCCTCCCCCCCAGCTTCACTCCACCTTCACCCTCTTCACCCCGCCTCCAGCTTCGTCACGGCAGAGGCGTCGCCCTCCTCCGCCAGGTTCGGGCCCTGGGTGATGGTGGTCTCCTTCACCACCTGGGAGGTGTGCAGTTGCGGACCCTGTGCGTATGCATGCGCATGTGTATGTGTATGTGTATACGTATCTGTATATGTATATGCATATATATATATATGTGTGTGTGTGCATATGCATGTGCATATGCATGTGCATATGCATATGTAAAATGGAGGCTATGTTCCACTTAAGGCGCCAGACATTGCCGGACAACCTAGATTCTTAGATGGTATACGTGTTCAAAATGCTGCGGCAAAAGTAAGGAACTAGAGGGAGTGGGGCGACAAGATCTATATTGTGCTGTCAAGATAATCCAGATGGACAGTTGTCATGTGGGCGTGTCTGAAAATCGGGGACCCCCAGGCCCCCGCAAAAAAGAGGAAGCTTTGGTTTTCCTTTTGGTTCACTACCAACACCCTTCTCACTCAACATCTGCTGCAAACTGGGCCGCTTTCAAAGCGTATTTAAGGCCTCTCCTGGGGCAGTTAGCCAGGCAACGCCCAGTTGCCAAAAGCTTCTGATTGGAGCTACCCACTTCTGCCTCCTTTCGGGAATCAATGGCAACCAAGCCTCCCAGTGAGAGGAATAAAGCCATAGCAGCCTATTGACTGCTGGACGAATGGCACCTGCTCTTTGTGCCATTGGCCAGGACCAGCCCAGAAAACGCAAAGAAAAACAGTAGCGGCTGCGGGGGGGGGTCTATTTCTGCATCCTCCTCGCGAGCAGTCGCGAAGCGCGCGCATGGGAGGGGTCTCAACAACCCAAAGGCCGCTGCAAGGAGTCCAAAGGCCGATCTTTTGAAAGTGCCGGCCATTTTCTCAGCAACCTGAATGGCGTGCCTTCGAAGACAAGGCCTTCAGAACTTCAGGGCTTCAACACACGCGTGTCTTTTTTTTGTGTTCTTTTTCTTCGTCAGCTAAGGAAACGGAAACCACCCGCTTTGGGTTCCAAACCCGGCCGCCGATGTCGCCCTGCTCCCCTTTCCCCGGGCCTTCTTGAGGGTTCGGATGAGCATCAGCATATGCTCCTCGCTCGAAAACGGCTTTGGCGGGGCGCTGCGCGCGGCCAGGCGGGACGCCATTCTGTTGGAAACATGGGCTTTGAGGTGTCAAACTAAATGGCAAATGACGTGCAAGTGTTACACATTGCATGATTGTATTGATATGAGTCTGGTTTCTTTGGCACCCTTTCTAGGGAAAACCACCATTTTGGGGGGTCCCCCCATTTGGAGACAGGCCCAAATGGCCCACATAGCGCTTCTTCGCCGGTAGCCAACGAGGGAACCCATACAGTTCTCGGTGAATTGGGGCAGGAGGTGCATCCTCAGAAACAATCACTTCGAGTTGGGGCCCTGCCTCCAAACCTCCAAACCAGCCACGGAAATGTCGACCATGGGCTTGTCTCTAAAGGGAAGCCCTTAGAAAAGCCCGGGGTCGCTGTTGGCTTCCCCTTGTAGCAGGTCCTTCCGAGCTCAAGACACTCCATCCAGCCCTTGGCTGCGGCTCCTTGGTGAGGGAGCCAGCCTTCTCAGCGTCCAGCGCGTCGAAGAAGCGACCTGAGCCGCTTCCGGGAAGCTCGGGCCTCCGCAAAACGTAATGCCAAAGCCTGTGGCGCAGGAGAGCCGAGAAAAATGGCTTGCACTATCCGATTTATGCCCAAAATCTTGGTTGGCGTTGGGTTTGGGGAGCAATTCTCAAATCTTAGCAGTTAAGTGGCTGGATTTCACCCACTAAACCACAATAAGCAAAAATGTGAAATGTTTCCCAACGACAACCCTGAAAACCACGAACTCCGGGGCAAAACAAGGCATATAGCGCTTACATAGTGGCCGCATGGTGGTTGTATAGGGGAAGCCATCTTAGACAAGTAAAGGATGTATGATGGTGCAGCTCGCTATGCAATAGGCAGGTCACTCGGTTCGGGGAACCCCTGCTTGCACACATCTGTTCTTTGTGGAACGGGCATGAACATCCGTTTTGCGTATACGCAAAAACGAACCTTAGCTACATACAGAATCAGTCGCAGCAACAACACCAACAAAATTGGCCAAAGATAATTTGCGCTCTTCTTCAGAATCGATGTGCTTTTCAGGAGGGGCGTGCGTTTTCTGCGTCAATCCAAGGTTGCTCAGGCTCTTATATATAGTTCCCTCCGCGAACTGTTTGCCTTGTGCTTCAAGGCTTGACTGGAACAATCCCGGCAGAAGGATCCCTGGGGGTGGGACCAAAACACGTCAGAGACAAACCACAGCTCCATTTTGGAGCCAGAGATGTGAGAGGACGTTTCGCTGAGCCCAAGGCCCACTTCCTCCTCCGTGAGCGCCTCTGCGCCATCCTGGCCGCGGCGTCGCAGGAAGCGGGGGGGGGGGGTGAAGGAGGTCCAACCAGCGAGGTTGGGGGCACTTTGCGGTGGTTTTTCCCACAAAAAGGGAGCCAAAAGCAAGGGGGTCAAGGGCTTACTGGATCTCTTTCTTGAAAGAGTTGATCAACTTACCTCGCCACTTTGGGAGGTTCCAAGGAACCCTGTGGGTAGGTGGGCGGAAAAAGAGTTCTAGGGCTTCATGCATCCCAACTGCAGGTCCATGTCCAATATCAAGAAGCTGGCATGAGGGTGCTATCTTGAGTCTTTGACCCGTCTTACATCGGTTGAATACGGGAACCAACCTGGAACGGGGACTGATTTCGAGAAACGCCCAGATGTCCGCAAAGAGGGAGAAACCCCAAAGCCAACCTGTCTGCCCCCTCGACCCAATCACTTGTTTTCCCCCGGATGGAGGCAGGGCTCAACCACAAGTGAGTGAGCTTCAAAAAATGGCCTACGGGACAAGTGCTACTTAAAAACAAAAGAAGGAACACATGCTTCGGGCGGTCGGCCACTTGGGTGTGAGTCAAAAATCGGGAAACCCCAAAATGGGGTCCCCTGGCAAATGGAAACAAGGACTCAAACCTGCCTGTCCATATCCAGTCGGGGGTAATTTTGAGTCTATCAATATGGGGGTGGGGGCCTGGTCTGAATCCCCAACCAGGGACACCCCCATATAACAAACAGGGGTTTCACTTCATCCGGGGTCAACACATTCGCCGACCGACCCCATCCCTCCCGGAGCCAAAAGGTGTCCTCCGCCTCGCAGGAGGTGAGGAACGCAACGAAGGACTCCTGACCGACCGGGCCGTGACGGTGGAAAGAAGAAGTAACTTGTTGCTGGTTAAAAGGAAATATGAAGGGAATCCAAAAAGTTAAAGTCTAAAGATCCAACCACATAGCGGTAGAGCTTCCCCCATTCTAGTGATCCGAACCGTTCCAAGACACAAACACCGAGGAACACGGGGCGTTCTTCTTTGCTTGAGAAGAAGGATGGGTGAACAGGACTTGGGTCTCCTGAGAGTGCCCTGCTGAAACTTTGACTCGTGGTTAAATCGAACCCCCCACCAAACCCCAAAAAACCAAAAGCCAAGGACGGCTGCGAACCGCTAAGGGATCCGGAGACCTCCGACTGACCACCAGAATCCCTCATTGCCAAGGCCGAGGAGGGTCGAAGGCACAGCGGCATGCCCATAGCCGAACTGGGATGGGTCAAACTGAAACCAGGGCATAGCAAGTGAGTCACATGCTCAAAACCGATCAGTACAAAAATGGCCGTATTCCCAGAACCATGCGTCAAGAACGAAGAAGGCGGGTATCCGCGGCTATTTATGGCTGGGATCGTCCCTTACTAACCTTCACTTACCCGGGTTTTGATTGCGGCTCAAGTCCCTCTTCTTTGGATTTCACGGCGGAGTCCCGTGTTTTGTGTTTTCCAAGCTGAGACTGCCAAGCCGGCTGCCGTGGCTTTCGGCCAACTTGGAGCCAGTTCCCCGTTCTGTAGGGATCGCAGGAGTTAGAGTCAACTGGTTTCCATTTCCCGATCGGCCAAGCCATATCGGGGTTACCCGAGTTTTGACAACCACACCCAACGAACCTCTGACATCTGCGAACAGCGGCGTTTCGCATTGTCCAGTCCGGGATCTAAAGGATCTTAAAGAGGAGGGGGCCAAAGACATCAAACAAGGAGGCCCCACTCAAATGAAAAGAACTCATCTCCCCGCGGCCCAACTAAGCCTCTCCCTGCCCACGTTTGATTGCGCATCCCCCGTGTTTTGCCCCAGCCGCCGAAAGCCCCTCGCCCCTCGCCCCGGCACCCCGCGGCCCCCTCGTCCGAGAAACCGGCGATCCCAACTCCCGCCAGGAGCCTTAGTCGCCTTCTCCTCGTCCTTCTTCGACACGCTGAGGAACAGCTCTTCCGGCGCCCTCAGCTGGGCCAAGTCTCGGACGTGCAAATCATATGCCCGTTTGCAGTCCAAGCCTCCGATATACGGAAAGCTCTTCAAAACAGACCAAAAATCAAGGGCCCGCCTGAGAGCCGAACGGTTAAAGCAACCCTTCCCTTTCAGAAAGCCATGTCACCCAAGGTAAGCAGCAAGCGTTGCCTTTGAACAGTCCAGCCCAATATGAACATCGGCCGCCCTGTAAGTGTATCCTCCAGCAGACCGCAAACACTTGATAGTCAGACGGCTTAGTTCTCAAAATGGACTGCCACTGAGATAGTTTTTTAGCAACACCAGGTCAACGCCAAGAACAACTCCACCTGCATCATTTTGAGAAACATCCAGGGACCTTTTCACCAGAGGTCAACCCTGGAAAGGGCCTAATTTTTTGGGCCGAAGCCAAGCAAGGGAAGCCTTTGTTGACATTCTAACTGCAGTTGTTCAGGTTCTGGCGGAAGGAACAAAAACCAAACAAAAACTGCTTCAGCTACTAGAAGCGATGTTTCAACCAGAGGTTTTTGACAGCTGCAGGTGCCCACTTCAGCGCTTCTCTCCGGAGTTCCGCGCGCCACCCTGCATGGCCCTTCGTTTTACGATGTCAAAAGCGCTTGTGAAGCCGCAGAATCAAAAACCGGACCCAGAGCCATGCAAAGATTTGAAAAAATAGCTGCGCCCCACTGGTTCCGCAAGTCGGCGTCCTGTCAATTTGTGGCCCGGAGCGCGGTGGTTTACAGGTTAGGGAATACCCTCTCCAACAACCAGGGCTTCAAATTTCCCAAACCACCCATTCAGGGTTTCCGGAACAAGGCGGGTTCCAAAGAAAACGGCCCTACAGTTGGATTATCTTGGCTTCTTGGGATGAAACTCCCAAATGCAGCCTTTCCACAGAGCAAACCACCTAAGGCCAGGGCAAACTCTTCGCCATCTGCTGCTGTCTCAGCGTAGCCTGGCGCCCAAGCACCCTCCCAAACCCCCAAGACCCCCGAAACACGCGCGGTCTGGAAAAATTGCCTCATCCGCGAGTTCCGCCACCACGGAAAGCAACCAAGGAAATGAAACCGTAACGTTGGTTTTGTATTTACGTTGATCAAACCATTTCCAGTTGGGTCTCTTAGGTGGTGCGACGGAGTTCGCCCATCCGTAGCAGAAGCCCTACTCTCTGCCCAAAAACCCACGGAACCCCACCAAACGACCAACGACTCGCGACAAACGCTCAAAACCCCGCTCGACTTGGCTCGACTCGGCTCGACTCGGCTCGACTTCTTGTGTCCGGCCAGCACCCGCTTCTCGCTCTGGAGCAGCTCTGCGGCGTCCTCGCTTGTCCGACGGGCGACTACCGACGGGCGACGGCCGACTGCGATTCCGGGAGCTGGGGTGCCGGTAAGCTTACTTGCCCTGTATGGGCTTAGAAATGAGAAGGTGAGCACCTTCAAAGAACCTACAAATTGGAAAGGTGAGCACCTTTCGGGACCTAGTGCTAGAACTAGATGAGATGAAAACCAAAAGGTCAAATCCAGTCGATTCGCTTCGGTTGCAACGGGTGAACTCCATTGTGGAGAGGGCAAGGGAAACCAAAAAAAAAGAGAGTTGTTTGAAAATACATCAAACTATGGGTGGGACCCTACAGAACCAGATTAATTCCAATTTGGTTAATTAAAAATAGTGCTAAGTTGGTTGACCCACACATATATGAACCCATGGCAATTATATACCCGTTTGGTGTCTGATGTCCATGAAGTATGAACAAGAATGCATGGTTATTTATATACGGGCTGCTCTCATGGGTTCATACACTCAGTCGCCTTGTCTCTAGGCTGTAAGGCTTAGCAAATCACGTGAGACGGATTCAGCCCAAAAAGGAACAAGATATCCCCACTCCAACTTGCCGTGAGGGGGGCATCCATGGCTTTGCTTCTGTAGCCAAGCTTCGGGATGCGACCCCCGTGTAAGGCACACTGGAAGCGTCGTACACGTGACCCATCCAACATGTCCCGACCCCAAATCAGCTGCCCGTCCTTGTTCTTCGCATCCTGCTCCAAATGCTTCTGCCTCGGAAGTGTTCGGCACTGGGCTGGACCATTGAGCCCCTTGACCCCACATCTGAGAATCTGGGCACACAGAAAATCATATTTGCTGACTCTGCTTCACATTTGATCGCCCCCGAAAAACCATACTCTTGGAGGAGACCCCAGTTGCTATCAAATAGAAGCTTACGTAAGTAAGTTCTCACGCACTGGGCATCGTTCTCACG